TTAGAAAGCAAGACATTAGTCTTCTGAAAAACTCTGCTCCTGACAAACTTTACTGAAAGAAATTGAGAAAAATGACATGTATTCATGACCTCTGCAGTGCTCTGGTTTTCTTAAACTTTTTAAGTTACTCGCTTTTCCACATATAAAAGCCTAAATTGGTAACGGTTCTAAAAATGAAATGTATTAGAATTCTTGTAAAATTAATATTTGAATGCCAGCATCCACAATAATGCAGCCACAGCAAATAAGCATATAAAATAGTGAATGGCATAGTAACAAGGCAAAAGAAGTGGTCCCTTAGGTGGAAATACCAGCAACCTTGCAAAGTTAGGTTCATGCAGACTGGCAAGGAAGAACCAAAGCTTTACCACTTAAGAGCTGGAAAAATAAATATTTAAAAGAAAACAAAATGCAACATCTATTACATTAACAACTGAAGTTTATACAAAAACTAAAAATACTAATTCATATGTAAAATGTATAAAGCTTGGCATTCTAATAATATGTATACATAATTACATATCAAAATAGGAAGGCAAGTATGAAAACTCTATGCTCAGTAATTAAAAGAACATTTACATATATACATTTTTAGGTATCAAAGACATTAGTGAAATTACAAGAAAAATGGCTAATATTCTGGATTTACTACTTTCCAAATACATTTTTGAGAATAGTGTGATTCTATACTAAAATGAAATATATGTTTGTGATATTTTAATTATAAGTAAGCCTCAACACACTTGCATATATAAAAATACATTCAACTGAAAAAAGGATACCATTCTTCTTTGTTTGTATGTTATTCAAATACTGGGATACATCATTATGAAAATGTATATATATTTTCCATTTACAATTTGTGATTTTCCATTATTTAAGTTCTTCCTAATATTTTACTAAATTATCAACTTCTGGAGTAAAAATAAAAATAATTTGTCTATACAAAAAATTTCTAGTGAATCAGTAGTTGATTATATAATTGGTAAAGGTAAACTTATAAAGTTTAAGATACAGACAATATATGTTTGTATTATTAAAATTTTGATCGTAGGTTCCCAACCTTTTTCTTCTTTTCTATTTCTTCTTCTTCTTTTTGTTTTGCATTTCTTCTTTTCTATTTTTGTGAGAAATTATTTTTCATTTCCATAAAGCTTAGTTAGGTACCATGGAGTCGATTTTCAAATCATAATGATGTCATGTGACAGAGTAGAACTGTTCCATGGGGCCCTGTGGGGTTTTCTAAGCTGTAAACTTCCTAGGAGCAGATCACCAGATCTCTCTCCTGAGGAGGTGCTAAGTAGGTTCAAACCACCAGTCGCTCAGTTAGCGGCTAAGTGCTTAACCATTACACCACCAGAAGAGCTCAAATTAAGAGCCTGTATGAAGGGCTCAGAGGGAACAACTCTGTGTAAAGAGTAATGATACAGATACAGGTGGCTTTCACAAGAGCTGGAAAATTGTTTGGAGGTGTATCATTTAAAGTACTGAGAAATTCAAAACTTAAAAATTCAAACGAAGTAGGAAAACCCCTTTAAAAGCTAAATACAAATGATGGTTTGCATTACCTGTGCATACACTATAACAGCATTGCTTATAATGGACATGAGTTTTTCACTTAATTTTTTAACAATTTTTCATTCTTGTTGTATTAACATTATGGGTGGCTGTCTGTTTTAGACAAGTATATCAGGAAAATAAAACAAAACAAAACCACAACCGGGAACCAGATATTCTTAAGTATCAAATTAACCCTAATTTGTGAGTTTAACAGGCATGACATTTAGTACTCCCTGTTTCAGAGATAACAAATTCTATCCTTACTTCCATTTTAAAAGTTTTGTGAATTCTTGTTTTCTATCCCATTTTCAAGCATCATAATGATTATCATAATTGCATTTTTAATTACATAGTCCACAATAAGAATCACACAAAATCTGGAAAATGAGCTTTAAAAGCCAATTTGATACACATTTTTTTTTTTGCATATCCAACTGAATAAATGGGATATACAAATCTCTAGAAAAATTTTCCTACAGTACTTTAAAGCACAGTATTTTAGAAAACATAGAAACTCTATTTCTGTTTAATGTCTTGGTACTAAACCATGGATGTAACAAATCTCTCTTGGTGGTCTTAGGTTCTGAGCAGGGTCAGCATCTGTATGAATCCCAATCTGCCAATTATAAACTGACTATATGACCATATTTTGCTTATTTAACCATTCAAAGCTTCAATTATCTAATTTACACAATGTGTTAATAACTATTCCTACTTCACAGAATTGTTCTGAGGCTTAAGTAAGATTATGCATAATACAGTACAATGTGCATTTTCAACACATGAATAGCATCATAAGTAACTGGACATAAAGCAAACTTGTCAAATCTCACAGAAGTCATTTTGGTCAAATGTGTTTTTTCCCATCAATTTTTGAGCCACCAGATAACAGCAGCTTAACATAAAGTACATGAAATCAGCTAAATACAATAAAGCTGAGGAAGACTGCAGGAAAATTAAAAAAGAACTGAATGCTTTCAAAATGCTATTATTTGGTCACTGAGTTATAAAAGAATAAATATTCAATAATCTCATGTTTGTATTATTTCTTCCTCACAGACTTAGGGAGATGAAGCTCTGGTGGTATAGTGCCTAAGGCATCTGACTGCTAACCAGAAGGCTGGTACTTCAAACCCACCAGCCACTCCTCGGAAGGAAGACTGGGCAATCTACTTTCGTAGTGATACCAACTAGGAAACCCAAGGAGGGGTCGCTATGAGTCGGGTCCGACTCGACGGCAGTGAGTTTGGTTTTTGGTGGTTATGGTATGAAGAAGCTGGGTGACTTAAACTACTGGATTGATGTGAGCTGTGGGGTACAAGGGTACGTATTAAAGATTACAAAAATAATTGTAGTAGTTCTTTTAAAATTGGTTGTTTATATGCTCATATATCTTGGTTAATGAGAAGTATTTTGTGAGTGTTCAATTTTATTTTTATTTTCTTATACAGTAATGCACAAAAAGCCTATTTACTCCCATATCTCTTCTTCTTGGCTCAGTTTGTCCACGTGCTTTGTCTTAGAAGTTCTCTACACATAAGTCTCTCTGATCTTTACGTTATATATGTTTTCTTAAATTCAATAGCCTCAATCTTTCCTTTCATTTAAACTACCTTCAACTTTTTAAAAAAATTATATTTGCTGGAGTTTTTTTTTTTTTCCTTAACTCATTAAGGACTTAACATGCCTTTAACCATGCTAGTATTTTTTAGGATCATTATTGTTTTTATTGGGAGCTCTGGTAGCATAGTGCCTAAGGCTGGCGGTTCAAACCCACCAGCCACTCCTCAGAAGGAAGGTTGGGCAATCCTACTCCCGTAGTGATAGTGCCTCAGAAACCCAAGGAGGGGTCTCTATGAGTCGGGGCTGACTTAACGGCAAATAACAACAACAACAATTGTTTTTATTAATGCTTTGGTAAGAAAGCTAGTTGAGTTTGAAGTGGTTTGTCCTAGGACTGTTTTTCCTAAAAACTGTCATTTTTAATGTACAGTATTGTAGGATGTGAAGTTTTAAAAAAAATGTTAATCTGTGTTATAGTAGAACTGGCTACTATGACTTACTACTAACCCGAACTAGCCAAACCCAATGCTGTTGAGTGGATTCTCACTCAAAGTGACCCCATGTGTTACAGAGTAGAATTGCTCCACCGAGATTTCTTGGCTATAATCTTGTTGCAAATTAGCATATTACTTGTCACAAAATACAAATTCAAATATTTATCATGAATAATAATAAATTAATTCAGAAAACACTTCAACCATTTAGAAAGATCCGTTACATCCATAATTTGGTATATATTCGGTCACCAGAATTTATTAAAAATCATGATCTACATGTATATTTTCTTCAATATTTCCCAAATCTATTCTGTTTATCTAAGACTTTCATTTTAACTCTAAGTATTAATTTGCTTTCTAAAAGATAATTTAAATTTAGAAATCTTGATCCATTCTGAAAGAATGATGCTTCCTGGCAATATATTATCTCAAATGTAATCTGTAAGTAGAGTTAAGATTATGAATTAATCTGATGTCCATATTGATTCAATACAGTATTTTTTTCCTAAAAATATTCTACCTGAAACAGAAAAGCTATCAAATTATAAACAAATGGAGCTCTGATAGTGTAGTGCCTAAGGCATTTGACTGCTAACCAGAAGGTTGGCGGTTCAAACCCACCAGCCACTCCTCAGAAGGAAGGTTGGGCAATCTACTTCTGTAGAGATATGGCCTCAGAAACCCAACGAGGGGTCGTTATGAGTCAGGACTGACTTGATAGCAATGAGTTTTGTTTTGTTTTGTTTTTTAAGTAAATAAATATTTAACATCAATGGATGTATAAATAAAGTTAGATTATCCTCAAGTTCTCAAGGTACACTTTTTGCTTTGCAGGAAAAAAAAAAAGCAGCTAGAAGAATCCAATTTTGATTTAATACATTACAGATTTGAACAATGAATTGCTTATTCTGACTATGATACACTCTAAAAACATAACAATAAAACAAATTTTTGGGTGTTTTAAAAGTGTATATTACTACAGAAAACTTTACTTACTAAGAAATATATATTTTAGATATCAAAATGGGAATAATAAGCACTAAATTTTACTATAGCTGTAGTTTAATACAGGAATTCTGGTGGTTCTGTGGTTAAAGCATTGGGCTGGTAACCAAAAGGTCAGCAGTTTGAATCCAACAGTCACTCCAAGGGAGAAAGATGAGGTAGCCTGCTTTTGTAAAGATTTATGGCCTTGGAAATGCTATGGGGCAATACTACTGTGTCCTAATGGGTTGTTATGAGTTGGAACCAACTTGATAGTAGTGTAATTTTTCATTATTATTTTTATAGTTTAATATAGCTATTTAGCATAAAATTAGTATCTATAATGTTCATTTTTCTTTAAATAACTGGTATGTGAAAGCATAACAAGATACTTACTGGCTGAAGCCTGAGGTTGCATGCGAGGTATTCCTCCATTTGGCACTTGAAAATTTGAGTCACTTCTACTACTTTTCACTGAGTCAACTTGTGTATTAGATGTTCGGGACAGGTTTGGAAGACTGCGTCTTAGTTTTTCTGTAACAACACAATTTCAGTTAAAAATACAAACTATTCTTTCAGATAGAGAAAATTAAAATATTAATTAGCATTCAAAGTCAAGTTCTTTAATTAAATATTTGGCATATTTTAGAAGAGCTAACAGGAAGTACTTGTCTTATTAAAAACAAAAACAAAAACCCTCAGCCTTGATTCTGTAAATGGATAGAATAAGAGAACCCTTAATGAGAATCATAAACTGTTTAAGTCTAAATACAGATCACTTCATGAGCAGAATAAAGCAAAAGTGAGATAACCAAGTGAAACTAAATTCATTAAAAAAAATCTAAATTCATTTTCTCAAGTTTTGTATTGATTCACTCTTAAAACTGTAAACTTGAGTAAATTCTTCATCTACTTATCCAAAACAGAAAACTTGTCAAGAGTGTATTATTTGCATACTAAAACATGAAGAACAATTTTATCCCAGAAACATCCTAATTGTAAGTAAAATCTACTAAGTTTTACCTTCATTTTTAACATTGCTTGTCTGTAAATCTGCAGGATGGCCTTGAAGTGAAAGGCGAGGCTGCTGTAAGCGGCTAATCATAGGCTGTGGGGACACTCGACTATATTCCATTCCCCGAGCAGGAGATCGAGAACGAGGTGAATTTCTAGGTGACTGCTTAGGTGATGGTCGAGGTGAATTGCGTGGTGATGGTGAAAACCTGTTAACAGCAGGGTATACTGCATGATGCATACTGTCATCTTCCTCATCTAAACTTTGTGCATCAAGTTCCTGATCACTAAAAGTACCCCGTCGTGTAGAAGTGCAAGACGAACCAGAACTGCGCCGAGATGTGGTAGCTGCGTATTCTTGCCGGAGACCTGGCAATAATGAATATTGTTTAATTTTACTTTCATACGTTTTAATATTTTTATATTTTAAAAGTAAAAGACTGTCATTGAGAAATTCATATAGGGTAGAAAGTGTAAAGAAAACTTCCGTTCCACTTAAAGCATCTTAAATATCCTCTCATAGAATGATTCATAAATCACATCTGAAGGTTATTTTAAATTGAATGAAATTCTATAAATATTTGTCTAATTTCAAAATTTCTTAAATATGAAATCTGTAAGGTAGAACCCCAAACTGAAATATTTCTACCCCTAAATACAGTAATCCAAATTTGAGACTAACATTAAAGGTATAATGAAGGAAAACAATCACTATTCAACCAGTGACAAGAAAATGTCAACAAGTAAATAACCTCACCTTGGATACTTAATCCTTGGATTAATCTTACTCATGAAGATGACAAAGTGCCAAGGTAACTTCTCTCAGGAATTCAATATTTGGGGCACAAACAAAATTTCAATTGCTTTATAACCCAAGAGATTTCAAATAAAACAAGCATAGATTCTAAGCCTTCAAGGAAGACTATCAAAGGAGTCCTCTAATAAAACTTGATACCTTCAGAAACACCTAAGCAACCCTGGGAACTCTTTGAATAGTACAGAAGAAGCTTCTGGAACAAAATCAAATGTTGACAGTGAAGAAACAAATACATAAAAATAAAAGTATAGAGTTTAGGAGCATTTTGAGCAAGTCTTGCTAGCTCTACTGACAGAGTCTAGTCAAAATTAGTACTCAAACTTTTAAGTATTAATGTGTTAGTAACATGGTTCTCCAATGTAGTGGATAGTAAGAATCACTGCAGGATGTCTTTACAACTACAGATTCCTGAGGCCCACCCTAATTCTTCAGTCAGGTGTGAGAACCAGTGTAGCAAATGACAAGTTGCTTAACTATAGCAAACATGGTAATAACATCACCTAATAAAAGACAACAGACCATAGACCACAGATATTTTCTTAAGAAAAAAAAATACATATGACCATGCAAACCCTTCAATTTATTGCAAATTTGTAATTCTACATTTCTAATTGTTACAAAGAACTGGAGAAACAAGTTCTTTAAAGGAAAATTACCTCTTAAAAAAATAAGCTTCTATTTTCAAGGAGGTATCACATACATTTTTAACTTTGTTTTTTCCTTTACTCTCCAAGAAGAGAAATATTCATGCGTGTGGATGGCTTGGAAAGGATTACTAAAAGGCTAAAAATTTCTACTGTATACTGAAACACAAGGCAAAGAAAGTTACAGCAAACAGTTGAGATTCTAACAAAATACTGGAGTATAAAAAGTCTTGAGTTCAAAGAAGAAATGTGTGAGTTGATTCTAAGGTGTGATAATTAAGGTTGTGTTGGCTGGGCCATGACTTTTGAGTAGCTTGGCAGCTGGATGCAATTATTCCCTATGATGAGACTGGATGTGGTGTAATCAACTCCACGGGGACTATGCTGTGAGATGTTAACCAGTGGAAGGGGAGTTGCCTTTGGGGTGTGGTCTGCTTCCAGTATAAATGGAAGAGCTTCGGGAAGAGGTCTCTAGCTTTTTGGTACATCTGGATTCTGCATTTGGTGGAGTCCTCATCTCAGTGGCCTGCCATGGTGCCTACCAATCTTGGGATTGTTCTGGACTTGAACCAGTGGCCTGCCCTGTGCCTGTCGATCTTGAGATTATGACATTCTACTTGCCAACCTTGGGTTTATCAACCTGAGCAGCCAGCAGCTGTCTGAGTTACGAGACACCTCTAGCTTCAGTGGGCCTGGAGTAAGAGGCAGAGCTGAAGCCCAAGGCTGAGGGGCCTTTACCAAACACCTAGAGCCAGCACTCTGAATTTGAACTTCTGGCCTCCTAAACTGTAGGATAATAAATTCCTGCTTTGTTAATGCCATCTACTTGTGGTGTTTCTGTTACAGCAACACTAGAGAACAGAGACCTAAGGAATAGAGTTAAGGAGCATTCTTTGTTCTCCTTTCATAGTATCTATGACAATAACTAGCCCCACTAGCTGAACATACCACAATTTTAATAAGGAGTTAAAAAAAATACAAGAGAAAGAGTTACTATTTTACTAGCTTCTAGGGCTGAAGATAAAACAAAAAAAGCACCAGTCTTTTTATCTCTGGGGGAGGCTGCATGAAATGGGAAATGAATCAGCAAAGTAAGAAATATTCTACAGTTTCTTAATTACTGTTACAGCTTCATATAACTTACTATGCATTTATATTAAAGAAAGGTCCTATTATGCATACAGACAACAGCAAATTTTGGAACTAAATGACAGCAATGTTCCATTATGCTCAGCCAATTGTCAAGATTGAAATATGTCTTTCATGGATCTTTTCATCATAAAGATTAAAAGGGATCACTTTAGAGAAAAATGCTTTGCTTCACAGCTAAGCCATGGCAGCTCATAATAAAAATGCATAAAGAACAACGCAACACACTGCCCTTCAGTCGGATTAGACTCATAGTGACCCCTCCTTGGGTTTCTGAGGCAGTATCACTACAGAAGTAGGTTGTCCAACCTTTCTTCCGAAGAGTGGCTGGTGGGTTTGAATCGCCAGCCTTCTGGTTAGCAGTCACATGTGTTAGGCACTACGCCACCAGAGGACCCAATAAAATGCATAGGCAAAAATAATACTATCATAACCACCTTACATTCTTATGTAAGATGAACCATGAACCTTGAAATAATATGAAAAATTTTGTGCATATGTACAATTTGGGAACGACAGGGGCTATTAACCTTTACTAGATTCTCATTAAAGGTGTCTGTAATTTAAAAGTTACACAAATCACTTGGCAAAGCTCCATCTCATAGTGTGATACTATATTTCAAAAATGACTAGAAAAAAAAAAAGTAACTACTGAGGCTGTTTACATACAAGCAAAACGTGATAGAATTATGTTCCATGGTTTGGAGGTTTAGGGTCATTAGTTTCATGAGACATCCAGTTAATTGCCCCAATAATGTGATTAGTGCTTTTGTTCTACCTCCTAATTTGTAGTGTAGTGTTTGGTGTCTTAAAAGCTTACAAGTGGCTGGGCATGACAATTGGTTCCTATTCACCTAAAGCTACAGAAGAAGGAGAGTCAGGAATAGGAGAAGCATGTGGAATTGGGTGGCTTAATGCCTTGATGAACAACTGGCATCTTCGCCATGAGACCATAAGAACTGGATGATCTCAGCTACCATTACTGAATATTTTGATCAAAAATTCTATAGAAGAGGGAAAAGACAAAACAGAATTTCAAATCTCATGGTCTCCAGACTGTAGACATAGGCTGGAAGACTCCCTGAACCTACATCCTGAAATAATCTCTAAACCTTAAACCCAAAATATTTCCAGAAATCTTCTTAAAACCAAATAGTCTAACTTAAGTAGCAAAAAATGTCTGCCTTGACCATTAGCAGTCAAGTGCTTTAGGCACTATGCTACCAGAGCTCCTAAGAATTATCTATGTTGGATCAAAGTGGTAACAACAAAGTGAAAGATTAGATAGGAAAATTACTGGCCAGTGAGTTAATGTTAAAGGGAAAATTACAACTCAGAAGGGAGGGTGAGAATGGTTGCACAACTCAAAGAATGCAATCAATGTCACTATACATGTAGAAATGGCTGAAGTGGAGTATGTTCTGCTATGTATATTCTCAACGAAAACAAACAAACAAAAACAAGCACTATCCCTCTGCCTACATGGTCCTAATAAGACCAAAAGAACTAGATGATGCCTGGCTATCACTTTCAACAGCTTGAAAAGGGATCAAAATAGAAGATCCTGGATAGAGTGGGAGAAAAATGTGGAATAAAACTCAAAATCATAAAAAAGACCAAGCTTACTGGTCGACAGAGACTGACGAAACCCCTGAGACTAAGGCCCTTACTCATCCTTTAGGTCTGGAATTGAACTCACTCCCATAGTTTATAGCCAAACAACAGACAGACATGTAAGGTAAACTTTTACACCAAGTAGGTACAATCCTTAGAATAATCAAATCAAGGGAGATAAGAAGGGCAGCAGCCACACAGGGAGATAGCTCAGGGAGCAGGAATGCATAGCAAAGAAGGACACAGGGAAAAGGTAACCACAAGGAGAAAGTGAGAAGAGATATTACATTATGGGGTTGCAATCAATGGTATCAAACAAAATGTGTATGACCTGTCATAGGGAAAATGAATTTGTTCTGTCAATTTTCACCCAAATCACAATTAATTAAAAAAAAAAACAAGCAGTATCACCTAGTTTATTTAATGTCACAACTACAATTTTCCCATAAAGGTCTTTTTTATGGTCTATACAATGCATTCTCTCCTTTTATTTTTATTTTAAGAGCTTGTTTTACATTCAACATCACGTGTATATTTAGTTTCATTCCCCATTCACCATGTCCAACCCCAACCTCGTGTCCTCCTCTCCCTACCCAATAACAACTCCCCCCCCTCGTATTTATGCACTCCTGTCTGTCCTGCATTTCCTCAATTTGAATGTTGGTCCTCTGGTGCCCTGTGGTCTACTGCTCTAAGGGATGTATTAACCATAGAGTATGTGGGTGCGTCATCCTGGGTTGAGTGCTCTGCATATACATCTTGTTAACTATTGGGCTGAGAGCCAGTCCCTGGGGTTGAGTTCTACCCCAGGCGCAGAATGTATTCCAGGGGCATAGTACTGGGGGTCTCATCAGACTTCATCAGACCAGTAATTCTGGTCATTATTGGGTTTTTAGGAGCTCTAGTAGCGTAGTGCCTAAGGCACTTGACTGCTAACCAGAAGGCTGGCAGTTTAAACCCACCAGCCACTCCTCGGAAGGAAGGTTGGGCAATCTGCTTCCGTGGTGATACTGCCTCGGCAACCTAAGGAGGGGTCGCTATGAGTCAGGTACAACTCAACAGCACATAACAACAACAACAACAACACTGAGTTTTTGGATTTTGTTCCATGTTTTTCCTCCCACTCTATTCAGGATCTCTAGATTTGATCCTTTCCTGAGTGGTTGGCTATACAATGCAGTGACAGGGACAACGTTGTTGTTGTTAGGTGTCATCGATTCGTTTCCAACTCATAGTGACCCCATGCACAGCAGAACGAAACACTGCCCAATCCTGTGCCAGATCCACAATCCCTGCTATACTTAAGCCCATCATCGCAGCCACTGTGTCAATCCATCTCGTTGAAGGCCTCCCCCTCTTTCGTTGACCCTCCACCCTACCAAGCATGATATCCTTCTCCAAGGAATGGTCCCTTCTGACAATATGACCAAAATAGGTGAGACGAAATCTGGCCATTCTCACTTCCAAGGAGCATTTCGGGTGCACTTCCCTCCAGGACAGATCTGTTAGTTCTTTTAGCAGTCCATGGTACTTTCAGCATTCTTCGCCAAAACCACAACTCAAAAGCATCAACTCTTTTTCGGTCTTCCTTATTCATTGTCCAGCTCTCACACGCATATGAGGAGACTGGAAATATCATGGCTTCTGTCAGGTGCACCTTAGTCCTCAAGGAGACATCCTTGCTCCTCAGTGCTTGAAACAGTTCCTTCGCGGATGACTTTCTCAATGCTACACGTCGTCTAATGTCCTGACTGCTGCTTCCATTGGCATCGATTACAGAAACAAGCAACATGAATTCTCTGACAACCTCAGTCTTCTCTCCGTTTATTGTGATGCTGCTCATTGGTCCAGTTGTGAGGATTTTTGTTTTCTTTATATTGAGATGTAATCCATACTGCAGACTGTATTCTTCAACCTTCATCAGTAAGTGCCTCAAGTCATCCTCACTTTCAGCAAGCAAAGTTGTATCGTCTGCGTATCTCAGGTTGTTAATGATTCTTCCTCCAATCCTGATGCCACATTTTTCTTCATATAGTTCAGCTTCTCAGATCATTTGCTCAGCATATAGATTGAATAAGTATGGGGAAAGGATACAACCCTGACACACTCCCTTCCTGATTTTAAACCATGCAGTGTCTCCTTGTTCCATTCAAACGACAGCCTCCTGGTCACGGTACAGGTTCCTCATGAGTATAATCAAGTGTTCGGAATCCCCATTCTTCTCAATGTTATCCATAATTTGTCATGATCCACACAATCAAATGCCTTTGCATAGTCAATAAAACACAAGTACACATCTTTCTGGTATTCTTTGCCTTGAGCCAAGATCCATCTGACAACAGCTATGATATCCCTTGTTCCACGTCCTCTTCTGAATCCAGCTTGCACCTCTGGAAGTTCTCTGTCAATATACTGCTGCAACCGTCTTTGAATTATCTTCAGTAAGATCTTACTTGCGTGCGATATTAATGATATTGTTCTGTAATTTTTATAATCTGTGGGATCACCTTTCTTTGGACAGCAAAGAACAGGGGCAATATTCTCCCCCAAATGGACAAAAATTGGTTCTAGGGGTATAAAAACATCTTGGGTATCATAATGGTTTGTGATGTGTAAATAAACATATATCTAGTACATCTGTGGTATTAAAATTTCCATGTAGTGTGGGAGGTGGGCATAAAGGAAAAAAGTCTAAAAGGCTTCTTGTAGGGCAATAATGACCAAAAACATTGAAAAACCCTGCCTACGCTAAGAAACACAAAGGCACTAGTGAGTTCCAGTGGAGAGTAAACTACACGATATGATTATTAGTCCCAGAAATGGAATATGTCTTTCCATTCCCCCTCACAAAGCCAATTGCCGTATGTAAAATGGACTCTGAAAAAAGTTAAGAGACTTCTCTATGTATTTGTTGAATAAGGCTCTGAAATGTTGATTTCAACATTTCTTCTCTCACTGCATTCTATTCTCACAGCACTTTCTACGCCATATTTAATACAATAGAAATATGCAGCAGTGAAACAGCTCAACTTTTAAGAACTTCACATTCACGTAACATTGAATGTAAAACAATTCAACAAAAGTATCTGTAAAACATACTTACTCTCTTCCTGCATCCGAGCTAGAATCTGCACATCGGTTACATCATTTAGCTTATAATTGGATCCAATTGAATCTTCATCTAATTCTGAAGCACTTAACTCACTGTCTATAGAGGATTGAGGACTGAGTGGAGGATTTCTGTCTGATGAACTTTTCAAGTTACCTTAAAAGAGAAACAAATTCAAACGTGGGTAAAAGAAAAATCAAATAAACTGTTGTAATTCACTTGATATTATTTTCTTTTATTTATTCTGCCTTTTCTGTTAGTAAACTTCCCAAATGTTAAATTTAAAAATTGACCTTATTAAAGCTATAAAGACTTCTTCATATGAGACAAAAACAAAACAAAACAAAAAAAACTCCAAACACCCCAGAAACCCAAACCCACTGCTGTCGAGTTGATTCTGACTCCTAGTGACCCTAGAATTGCCCCACAGAGTTTCCAAACCTTTACAGAAGCAGACTACCATATCTTTCTCCCTTGGAGAAGCTGGTAGGTTCAAACCACTAACCTTCTGGTTAGCAGCCTAGCACTTAACCACTGTGCCAAAAGGGCTTCATCTTCATATACTATGGCATAAATATAAAACACATTTTCAGTTAAGTATAACTATCTATCCTCTTATGAAAATACTAATTTTTCAACACAGTGCTTGGCAGATAATGGGAATTCAATAATGAGATGTTAAAGGATTTCAACTTTTACAAGATAGCCAGTAAAATGGCACTATAAATTAATAGATTTACAACGCAGTGTTTTGCCCCTTAAATTCAGTCATTAACAAATATCATCTTTTCCTTGAATATAAGCATCTACTTTTCCTAAACAAGAAAACTATATTTTGCAGAAAATTAGGACTCCTAAGAGAAACAAATCAAAATGGAAACAGTAGGTTCATTTCTCTTACGTTATGCTGAGCTTACAAAATTCCTTTGCCAAACTAGTAACGAGGAGCCAAAGAGTTCTCTGAAGTTGTAGAGTGAAGTACGAAAAATGGGATGAAGAAAATAACTGGATTTTAAAAAGTACTTTATCATTCTAAACCAAAAAAGGATACAGAAGACGTCAGAGGAATGAAAGATACATGCATCTAAGAGTCTCACTCGTTTCTAGGAAAATGCTTCTGTCAGGTCACTAACTCCTAGTGAATAAAAATAAAACTCTAACACTACCACTAATACTTCTAATACATATTATTTAAGTTTCTCAGAATTTTTCATCATAAAAGGCACATAAGGAGAGCAAGCAGAATACATTGCACACTTGATAGAAAAGTACTACAAGTTCAGGCTCAAACAATGCCTGAATCCATTTTTTAAAAAATTTTAAACAAATATTGCAGATTACACTTTTTCGTGTGATATAGTCATAGGCGAAATAAGTAGCAAATAATCTATACACAAAACAAAGAGTAGGGTCAATGAAGTCATCAGTCTGGGGAATACACAGGTCAAAAATCTGCAGTAGTAAACAATCCCTTAATTTTAAGGAAGTTATAATTAGCCCTAACAACAATAGTAGCAATAAAAGTAAATGAATGGGTGAATCCCAAAGAGTAAGCTACAAGTAACAGTCGCAGTCACAAAATCAGAGCAGAACATTCTTTCTCCAGTTCACAGCAATCTGTCTCTCTTGTATTATTTATGGCTTCCAAAAGCTTGATTAAGGAGCTCTGGTGGCACAGTGGTTAAGTGCTTGGCTGCTAACCAAAAGGTCAGTGGTTTGAATTCACCAGTCACTCTGTAGGAGAAAATGTGGCATTGTGCTTCCATAAAGATTACAGTCTTAGAAACCATATGGGGCAGTTGTACTCTGTCCTACAGGGTCATTATGAGTTGGAATTGACTAGACGAAAACCAATTAAGAGCTTGGCTACTATCCAAAAGTTGGGCAGTTTGAACCTATCCAGAGGTGCCTCTGAAGATAGACCTGCCTGGTGATCTGCTTCCAAAAGGTCAAAGCCTTAAAAAACCCTACGAAGCAGTTCTACTATGCACACATGGGGTCACCATGAGTCAGATCAACTTGACGGCAACTAAAAATTGGTCTTTTGGCACATTCACATATTATTATATAATAATATAATTATTATACTATTATTTAGTACTATTATTTGCTGTACCAAATTTTATTAAAACTCCTATAAAAAGTTTTAAATTTATAGCTTTTATAATCCAACCAAGATGGTCAATAAGTACTGACTGATTAAAAGAATCAAGGTTGTGGACTCACTGAATCCAGCCAGATTTTTAAAAAATCTAAATAAATGTAACTTAAAAAAAATATTTGTGGATATAACACACTGGCTTACTGGTTTCTAATACAACATCTGGTGTAAAGAAGCTCCTCAATGATATTTGTTCTAACTAAGTAAAAGTTTCATAAATAAAATGAATCTGAACTACTGAACAAATTCTGAGGTAGGGAAGTTAAATTAAAGACCATTCCTTAATAACTCCATTTTATTTTCCCCTTACCTGAATTTCCAGGAAGTATAAGTTGTTTGACTATAGGAGGTCGCACTGGGGTTGAGGATGGAGAATTAAAACCACTGCTATATGGGCTACTTGCATTTGGACTGTAAGGGCTTGTGTAACTCACAGAGTTGAAAGGATTATTATATAAATTCTGCCTCTTGAGAGCTATATTAATGAGAAGGGGGAAAAATAAGATTTAGTAATAGCAAAAGTCAACATCTGTTTCAAAAGGTTTCCTATTAGGAGATTCAATAAGTTATTATCTATCTTGATTTAAATAAACATTGTTATAGTGGGAAAAATATATACACATATTCCTTACTTACCAACTATCTCGTTATCCAACTCCTTTTGCATATACAACAATAGTAAAATATCTGCTATCAGACTGTGTTGCACACTGACCTGTGTGATAGGATTCCTCCCTATCTTCATCTCCTGGCCCACAGGCCCACCCTTGTCTGTCAGGCTCAAAGCTGAAACAGCCAGCTCTCCTCCACATCTCCTTGCATAACACTGATTTTGCATAACAACCTGGTTTTTGGAACCTAATGATGTCAGTAAGTGAGGGGTGGGTATATTAATAATCCCAGAAAACTGTTTCTGTTCTCTTAAATTGTATTATGCAAATAAAATAAACAAATATATGCACCAAAAAAGGAGTCCTGGTGCGGTAGTTGTTAAGGCATTTTGGATACCAACCAAAAGGTCAATGGTATGAAGTCACAAGCCACTCCATGGAAGATGAGGCAGTCTGCTTCTGTAAAGATTTACTGCCTTGGAAACCCAATAGGGGTTGCTAGGAGTCAGGATCAATTCAATGGCAGTGAGTTTTCTGGTTTATATACATCAAACAACAAAAAGAATATCATGGGAAGAATGTTTCTTAAACAGATTATTAGAAACTAATTTAATTCTTTCCCATCGTGTTGGCAAGTTTGCTCTTTAATAATTGTATCAATCCCTAAAAACCAACCCATTGTGTTGAGCTGATTCCAAATTATAGGACATAGTACAATTGCCCTATAGAGTATTCAAAGCTAAAGCAGACAGTCACATCTTTCTCTCAAGGAGCAGCTGATGGGTTTCAACCACTGACTTCTTGGTGAACAGCCAAATACTCAAACACTATGCCACCAGGGCTCCTTTATCAACCTTAGTGGCCTTTAAAAATAAACTGAATATGTAAAAGCATATTTGCATATTCTCATTTTTCTATAATTAACATGTATTACTTTTGAAAACCACGAAATAATGTTTTTTAAAAATAGCCTTTCCAAAGCCCCTCCAAGGGTAATTATTATTATGATTTTTATTTTTGCAGTGTTTCTTCCCCTCCCTACCCACCTCTGGTAACCAAAAAAAGAAAGATTCCTTCCATATATAAATCTTTCCTTGACTTTTTATAATAATGAACTAATACTATATTTGTCCTTCTGTGATTAATGTACTTCACTCAGCATAATGTCCTCCAAGTTCATCTACATTATGTGGTGTTTTGTAAACTCTACATTATTCTTTAGTGTTGCATAGTATTCCATTATGTGTACGTACCATAATTTGTTTATCTATTCTTCTGTTGATGGGCACCTAGGTTGTTTCCATCTTTTTGCTATTGTAAATAGTGCCATGATGAACATGGGTGTGCATATATCTGTTCTTGTCCTGGCTCTCACTTTTTTAGCATATACACCTAGTAATGGGATTGCTGGATCAGATGGTATTTCTAATTCCACCAAAGTTTGGGTTTTTGAAAAAGTAAAGCAATCGTGACTGTTTAGGTCAAGGCAATGTCAAAATATGGAAGAATGCTCTTTAAAAAAAAAACAAACTGTGTCATGCATATGACACACAGTACAAGAGAATGGCTAAGATATCAAGTGCAACTATAAGAACGAAAAATTAATACTTAAAATACCATTTCCTCCTCTCACTTTATTCTACCACCCACAACTTAAATTCACTCCACAAATATTTATGATCATGGGCAAAAGGCACTGTGTAGAACAAATAAACAAATATGATATGGTGCTTTCTCTCAAGAGGCTTACAAAAGAGTAGGCAGAAACAAGGCAAAATGAAGTTAGTTCTATTATAAAAGTGGAAAGAGGGGTGGAAATGAAGAGATAAGAGTAATTCATTCCAACTGTGAGAAACTGGGTAAGGCCTTTTGGAAGGAGAGACACTGGAGCAGTCTTGAGAGGATGAGTAGTAACTTGACAGGCCACTGAAAGTGGGGAAAGCATGTGCTTTCACTTTTGTTTACAACATGAACAGAAAGTGTCTTGACATGCCTGGTATATTCCAGGAATAAAAGTGAGTAATCTACTATGGTAAAGCACAAGGTGAGAGACAAAACAGAAAAACCCAGCTGAGGCCAGTTATACAAGGCCTACAACACCATGCCCAGAAGTCTCAATCTCATTTAGTAGCAATGACAAAGCCATCACTTATCTGTGAGCAGGAGTTTGATATAATCTAATCAGTTTAGGGGAAAAAAAAAAGCTGATGAGAATTTATCAATGATATTGAATAGAATACAGTAAACTAAGAAGTAAAGGTAATAAAGAAAAAAAGGAAAGGATATTAAAAAACTGGAAAGGATTGCTGAAGTACAAGGTTTGCCTAATGACAGAGTAGTGGTTTTGGGAAGAACACGTTTTCTGTTTAGCTGGATAACGTGGCAGGATGGATAGTACAGTAAAGTGAGTTTTAGACATAATCACTGTAAGACAAAACATCACATACTTAGTATATAGCATATAGACATGATCAGAAAACAACAACAAACAACTCACTGCCGTTGAGTCGAGTTGATTCCGACTAACAGCGACCCCTCCCTGGGTTTCTGAGGCAGTATCACTAGGGAAGTAGATTGCCCAATCTTCCTTCCAAGGAGTGGCTGGTGGGTTTGAACTGCCAGCCTTTTGGTTAGCAGTCAAGTGCCTTAGGCACTAAACCACGAGAGCTCCTAATCAGAAAAGGGGTTGCTAATTTCTCCCTCTCTTTGCTCTTCTAGGTCTTCTTTGAAGCTTATTTTCTATTACTTGGTTAATGATGATAAGCAGTTCACATCTTCAGCTCCTTCTTCTTTCTATTCTATATCCTATTCCTTTTCTGAGAAATGTCATTCAGACCTATGACATCAATTATTATCTATATGCCACTCCTCATATTTTTATCTCCAATCCTAAATTTATCTCTGAGCTTCAGACCCACATACACAGCTCATTTTAATTTGTCCCTTAGGTATGGCAAAGGGAATCCAGAGTCAACATGTCCAAATCCAAACCCATAATCTCCCTAAAACTAACCAAGGCCCCTATCTCAGAATGATAACAGCATTCATCCTGCCACACAAGCTGGATATCTAGAAATTATTGTTGGCAATTCTCCATATTTGTTTTTCCCATTTTCATTTTCACATCTTTCCAATTCCATTACCACCCTTTTACCCAAGCCCTCACTCACACACACAGCCCAGCTATGACCTTCTCAAGAGCATCCTACAGTGGCCAGCAAATACATGAAGAAATGCTCACGATCATTAGCCATCACAGAGATGCAAATCAAAACAACGAGATAGCATCTCACCCCAGCACTAACGGCAAAGTGCAACAAGACAGGAAATCACAAATGCTCGTGAGGATATGGCAAGATTTGGACTTTCATACACTGTTGGCAGGACTGCCAAATGATACAACCACTGTGGAAAAAAGATGGAATTCCTTAAAAAGCAGGAATTAGAAATATCATTTGACCCAACCATTCCATTACTAGGTATATATCCTAAAGAAATGAGAGTCAGGACAAGAACAGATACATGCACACCCATGTTCACTGCAACACTATTTACAATACCTAAAAGATTGAAACAACCTAGGTGCCCATCAACAGAAGAATGGATATCCAAACTATGGTACATACACACAATGGAATACTACGCAACACTAAAGAATAATGTAGAATCTGCAAAATACCACATAACATGGATGACATTATGTTGAGTGAAATAAGTCAGTCACAGAAGGCCAAATACAGTATTAGTTATTGTAAAAAGTCAAGGAAAGATTTATATATGGAAGGAAATATTCTTTGTTGGTTACCAGGGTGGGAGGGGAGGAGAAGGTACACTGCCCCCACCCCAAAAAGGCATTGACCCATGTCACTTCAGTTTTGTGTATTTTACTGTACATAAATTAATATTTCAATAAAATGTATTTAAAAAAAAAAAAAAAACAATGTATCCTACATTCACTCTCAGCACTCTCCAACTTACTCGCTATAATGCAGCCAGAATGACCTTACCAAAATACAAATCTGATCACGTCATCTCTGCCTTACCCCCTACACACTGCACCCTTGAATAAAACCATCACTGTCTTTTCATTGTTCAACATCTTTAATGTGCCTATAGTGTCTTGCAGAGTCTGGCTCATACCTTTCTGGTCTTATCTCATGTCTCTCTCTTTCTTACTCTTCCTACTCCAGCCATCCTGCTGTCCCAGCTCTTCTCTAACTGGTTCTCTCTAACTGGAATGTCCTACTCCCTCTTTCTCCTTTCCCTTTAGTACCTTTACGTTTTTATAATCTTTAGGACTCAGGTCAAACACTATTTCCTGAAGGGAAATTCCTGTTTCTCAGGGCTCAAAATCCTCTATACCATTCCTTTATTATCTATATCACCAGTTATAAATACTATTTGTACTAATATGTTTCACCTATTCTATGATAAACTCCATGAGAACAATTAGTGTTTTTCTTCATCATGTATCCTATAAATCCCATCACACAAAGGCCCCTGCTTCAAAAGGACTTTAAAAAAAGAAAAAAACTCACTGCCCTCGAGTCAGATCCGACTAGTGACCCCTCCTTGGGTTTCCAAGGCAAGGCAGTATCACTACAGAAGTAGATTGCTCAACCTTTCTTTGGAGGAGTGGCTGGTGGGTTTGAACCGCCAGCCTTCTGGTTAGCAGTCACATGCCTTAGGCAATACACCACCAGAGCTCCTTCAAAAGGACTGTACATAGAGGAAAATATCAGACTTTAGCATTAAAGCAGACTCAGATTCAGAAACTCTGTAATCACATCTAGTAAGTTATTTTCATATAAATAACCATTATTCCTTACAGCAACCAAACATAAACTACATTTTGCCAGTCTACCTGTATAGTTAGTCAATCAAACATAAACTTTACTATGCCAACATAACTGTAAAGCTAGTCTCCTCTCTGCTTCCCAGGAAACTTTCCACTTAACCTCTTAACAGAGAGCATGTTATTTTGAAGATAAAGCCGAAATAAGCAATTTTAAGTGCATAGCTGTTAAACTCGAAAAAAACAAACAAAAACTAATCATGCATTAAGGAACTCCGTTAGTGCAGTGGTTAAAGCATTGGGCTGGTAACCAAAAGATCGGTGGTTCCAACCTACTAGCCTCTCTGCAAAACAAAGACGAGGCAGTCATCTTCTGTACTTGGAAATGGTATGGGGCAATTCTACTCCGACTTATAGCGTCACTAGGAGTTGGAATAGACTCCATGATAGTGGTTTTGGTTTGGGTAATTACACATTAATTCCTACCATATGAGTATTCCAGAAAACAGCACCATTCTTAAAAAAAGACTGAAAGGATTCTACGAAAGGGTCAATAATATCATTGCTATGTTTCTATTCATACTCACATTGTTCATTAAATGCCATAAACAGCCACAGACACATTTTGTCAGCTTTGTGAACACTAGTAAATAAAAAATCATCAGAGCAATTTAATCCTCAAATGTCATATAAAACAAACAAAAGGAACCCAATAAGAAAGTGATACTAATACACTGACTACTATGTGCCAGGAAAAATGCTAGGTACAACAACTACAACATCATTTAATCCTTTATGTAACTTTTCAAGGATCATCATTCTTAAGACAAAACTGAGCTCACAAGTTAAATAATGCTCAGATCACACAGTTATTAAGTGTTGCGTGAGAAGCAGGTCTCTCTGGTTCTCAACGCCATATCTTTAGTGTAAAGTGTCACATGTGAGATGATTCAGGATGACACCAAACAAACATTTTTAATTTTTATAATCACTTGTTTTAACTTGTATTAGAAGAAACTATCACAGAGAACCCATTATTTTCATAGATGTTATTGCTTAGGATGAGGCTAAATAAGTGAGGAGATTTAACAAAACAAGACAGTTAAATAATAAGATAGGAGTATCTGTACATGGCAAAAACTCTGAGGGCAGTATCCAAAATGAGATCTGAAAAGATACTGCCAAGTAAGGAATTGCCTTCTTAAGACTGTACTATTTAACATTTATGTTTTTTGATTAAAGAAAGTAAAGTGATGAATTTACAAGTAAAATTATAGACATACCTGACATAGTTTGATCAAGTTTGTGGATAAGAGACTTTTTAGCACATTCAACATCAGGACTTGGGTAATCCAAAACTTGCCTGCACCAAACTAATGGACTAACCGATTTCTGCATTGGTGTAAGTTTTTTCTTTGGTGATGAATAAAGCCTAGAAGAAAATAAAAATAATAATAAATAATCATTATTAAACACAGTATTCTAAAATAAGGATCCTTGCAGATGAATTTAAATTGGTGGCAGGGGATAGGGGAAGAGTTCAAAGTAATGAAGTATGTTTAAAATCACCCATGTTAGCAAAAATAACACTCTAACAAATAATTTGACCCAAATTTCAAATATTAAATAAACCAAAATGTGGCCCACTCTCCATTCTTAAAATATGTCTTATTTCTCCCTTTTACTCTCATTACTAAAACTATATGGGAATGTTTGTCTTTACAATTATTTTATTTTCAAATGTATTTAACTCTTGAATACAGCTTTTGCATTAGGGTTAGTCTAGGAGGCAGAATGGGGAGATAAATACCTTCCTCTCTAGCTCCTTACCCTCTCTTCCCACTACAAAGTCTTACAAAAATCTACCATCAGTGATTCATTCTTTTTAGTCAAGGAATAAATTCTCTGCAATGCTTTTTTCAAATGATAATACATCTGGAAGAGTAATACTTTAAATTCTTAATAACTTTATGTGGATAAGTTGATGAAATACTTCAGTTTTAGAAAAGAAGAAAGGGGCAGTATTTTACAATGTCCTGGTAAAGGTATTCAGAAGGAAAGAGACAAGCAGAAGGTGTGTGTACACTTAAAATTTCTTACTTCATAATTTTTCCTAAAGTTAGTCCAGATTATGTCAACTGATACTAATTTACTTAAAATATAACTCTGTATGAAAAATATAAATAGTAACTTGATTTTTAACAGGTTGTTTTTCAAATTAAGACACTTAAAGAAGAATTTATACTTCAATATATCTAAATACTTAAATGTCTCAATAAAGGCAAGGAATTAATAACTCGACGTTATCAAGTTAGGGCAATAATATACAGTGCTGTTCTGGTATAAGCATTTAAACAGAGATCTACTTATATTAGTAGTAAAGAGACAAACTACTTTCAAAGTGGCAATACACATATCGTTTATCCCTTCTTTCTTCTTCCCCATCTATAACTTAAAAAGATCCTTGGTGGTGCAGTGGTTAAGTACTTGGCTGCTAACTGAAAAGCTGGAGTTCAAACTCACCAGCCGCTCCATGGAAGATGTGGCAGTCTGCTCTCATAAAGATTACAGCCGTGAAAACACCATGGGGCAGTTCTACTCTATGCCACAGGGTCACCATGAGAGGGAGTTGACTTGACAGGATCTATAACTGAGATCTGTCACTCACATGCATTATTATTATTATTATTATTATTATTATTATTTTATTATTGTGGTTTGGGTAAAAGTTTACAGAGCAAATTAGTTTTCCATTCAACAATTTATACACGTTTTGTTTCACTCTTTCCTCGCACACTTTTTAAAATTGTGATTTGGGTGAAAATTTACAGAGCAAATTCACTTTCCATACAGTAGTTCACATATTCTTTTCTCATGACGTTGACCACAATTTACCACAATGCAACAGCTCCCCTCCCACTTTGTCCCTATAGTTACCTTTTCCCTGTGTCCAGCCCTCCATGCACTCCTGCTCCCTGTCTCCCTGTGCATAAGCAGCCCTTCTTTCTCCCATGATTGTTCTCTCCAAGGAGTGTCTCTACTTCAGGTAAATGTTCAACTCATATGCCTGTCTTTTGTTTGGCTGGAAGCCACAGGTGTGGGTTCAATTCCAGACCTGAAGGGGAGCTAAGGGCCACAGTGTCAGTGGTTCCACCAGGTCTATCAGACCAGCAAACCTGGTCCCCCCCGTTTTTTGTCTCCAAATGTTTTGAGTTTTGTTCCACATTGTTCTCCCTCTCTATCAAGGATCGCCTACATAAATCCCCTTCCAAGTGGATGACAGTGGTAGCCGGGCACCATCTAGTTCTTCTGGTCTCATACTCATATAGGCTGCAGATCGGATGGTGTACCAGTTGCTAGGACTAATTGTTTCCATAAATTTCTGGTTTTCTCCATTCTTTTTTACTCTGGATGAGGAGAGACCCATCATTGCATCTAGATGGCACCTTGCCAGCTTTTAAGATCCTAGTCGCTACTTGTCAAAATAGGAGGTGGAACAATGTTTTGTGTAGTATGTCATGCCAATTGAGCTTGATGTCCCCTGTGACTATGGTCTCGAGCCCACAGGATCAACTACTCAGTCCCTCTGGGTAGCTGACTGTGACCAAGCAGTGACTACAACCTTGCACTTGTCAGCTCTACTATATACCTGGGAATTCTGATCATTCACATAAATTTATAGGACCATTGTCTGCCAACCTTCTACATGTTCTTGGATACACTCCCCACTTCATAAACATACCTAATAGCTCAGCCTGTCCACCCATCTATCCACCCATATACCCATGTCTGCCTTCACTGACAACACAGTACTGTATGTGCCAAAGGGTTCATCTTTGTTGTCTGTACCTCCCATATACCTCTCTTTTTCTCTTCCTCAATGCCACCATATTGGTCACTCACATTTGGTACATTGTCCTGCTCTTCACCCAAATCAATACTTATCTCTGTCTATTTAACAGCATTCCCTACCCTACCCTCCCACCCCAGGTAACAAACAAAAGAAAATTTCCTTCCATAGATAAACCTTTCCTTGACTTTTACAGTAACGGACTAATACAATATTTGTCCTTCTGTGATTGACTTGTTTCACTCAGCATAATGTCCTCCAAGTTCATCCACGTTACGTGGTGTTTTGCAGATTCTGGCTAAGGCACTTGACTGCTAACCAGAAGGCTGGCAGTTCAAACCCACCAGCCACTCCTCGGAAGGAAGGTTGGGCAATCCTACTTCCGTAGTGATACTGCCTCGGAAACCCAAGGAGGGGTCGCTATGAGTCAGGGCTGACTCGACGGCACATAACAACAACAACAACAGGTTATTCTTTAGGGTTGCATAGTATTCCATTGTGTGCATGTACCATAATTTGTTTACCCATTCCTCAGTTGATGGACATCTAGGTTGTTTCCATCTTTTGGCTATTGTAAATAGTGCTGCAATGAACATGGGTGTGCATATGTTTGTTCTTGTCATGGCTCTCACTTCTTTAGGATATATACCCAGTAATGGAATGGCTGGGTCAAATGGTATTTCTAATTCCAACTTTTGAAGGAATCGTCATACTGCTTTCCACAATGGTTGTACCATTTTACAGTCCCACCAGCAGTGTATGAGAGTCCCAATCTCTCTACAATCTCGCCAGCATCTGTTATTTTCTGTCTTGTTGAACTTTGCTACTAGTGCTGGAGCAAGATGCAAGATGGTATCTCACTGTTGTTTTGATTTGCATCTCTCTAATAGCTAATGATCATGAGCATTTTTTCATATGTTTGCTGGCCACTTGAATATCCTCCTTGGTGAAGTTTCTATTCATGCCTTCTGCCCATTTTTTAAATTGGATTGTTTGTCTTTTTGTTACTGAGGCGTTGGGAGTTTTCTATAAATTCTAGAGATAGTCCCTTGTCAGATATGTCATTGCCAAATATTTTTTCCCAATCTATATGTTCTCTTTTGGAGAAGTCTTTGGAAGCACAGAAAAATTTAATTTTTAGAAGTTCCCAATCCTCTGGTTTCTTTTCTGCTGTTTGTGCATTCTGAGTTATGCTTGAGAGTCTATTTATGCCTTATATTAGGGCCTCTAAATTTGCCCCTAGATTTTCCTTGAGGAACTCTATTGTTTTAGCTTTCACATTTAAGTCTTTGATCCATCTGGAGTTCGTTTTTGTGTATGGTCACACGTATTATTGCGCTATGCAAGATAATCAAGGCTAATGACCATTTCTCTAATTCACAATCCTTATTCATTTGGACAAAAATACTGAAAAGAATCTCAATTTATGAAATAATTTATTAACAATTCAAAATGAAAATGAAACCAATAGGCTTCATTCTCTTTCCTAGTTTAATACCACAAACGTTCCACAACAAATCTCTATCTTAGCATTCTGCTCATACAACGCGTGGTAAATATTATATATTGACACCCTGAAAGTTAGTCAATGTTGAGCAAACTAAACCTCTATATATGAGTAATAAACATTAATAAAACCACTTAAGGGTACTGTTACCACTCTTTCAATATATAACATTCTTTTTCACTCTGATTTCACAGTTTATCCATACAAATCACATATATTCAGTATATTCCTCTTCTGTTGGCTATAAAACTCATTTTAAACAGTTCAAGGAATATGGGTAAGCCTCAAAACATCGTGCTCACAGAAAGAAGCCAGACATAAAAGAATACATTGTTGTTGTTGTTAAGTGCCGTCGAGTCGTTTCCGACTCATAGTGACCCCATGCACAGCAGAACAAAACACTGCCCGATCCCGCACCAGCCCCACAATCCCTGCTATACTCGAGCCCATCATCGCAGCCACTGTATCAATCCATCTCGTTGAAGGCCT